AATAATGGTGCATCTTTTGTCAAAATAATGAATGTAATCAATGTAGAGAAGAGTTAAGTGGAAATTATCTGCCTCACAGGCATTGGGAGGGGTGGGAGGGGGGTATATTGGGGTTCTTGGTGGTGAAAAATGAGTACTGGTGAAGGAAGAGGTGTTTGATCACTGTATGACCAAGACTTAAACCTGAAAACTTTTCCCACAATGATTCAATAAATAAATATAAGAAGAAAAATAAATAAAATTATGGAAAAAATTTTTACTGGGGCCAGAGAGATAGTTCAGGGAGTAAAGCACTGACCTTGCCCATGACTGATCAGGATCTGATTTCCAGCATCCCATTTGGTCTCCCAAGCCTCCTATGGGTAATTCCTGACTGTAGAGTCAGGAGTAACCCATGAGCACTGCCAGATGTGGCACCAAAACAATAAAAACAACGCATAAATAGATAAAATCCCTTTATTTGTGATGTCATGGACCAAACCCAGGATCATACACTCTACTTCTGAGCTGAACTCCTGTGCCAATTCTGATAACTTAATTTTTTTAAAGCAGAGGAAAGGCAGAGAAATGGCCTCTCAAGCAGGAGGGTTGGGGTGCTGCTGGAGTCCAAGTCATTGACTTTTTAATTGGAGGAGGGTCACTAATTGGTGATGAGAAAACAAGGAGGTTTTGAGCACAAATATTACTTTCAACACTTTCTGCTGAGGCTTCCCCTGCCTATTGGTTGGTCACCAGCCTCACCTCTGTTATTGGAAAGAAATAAGCAGTACAGGGAGATGGAAAGTCATAGCACCTAGAATTATGGCTCCCAAGGATGTCACACTTTAGTCCCTGAAATCTGTGACTATGTCATGTCATATGGTAAAGAGATGTTATGGTGGGAATTAAGATTATGAAGCCTAATATAGGGAGATTATCCTAGATGATCCACACGGGCCTCATGTAATCAGGTTATAATCATATGAGCCTTTTTAAGGTGAAAGAAAAAGGCAGGAAATGAGCCAGAGAGAAGAAAATTAAGAAAAGGCAGGACGGATTTCAAGAAAGAGAATTCAAATCCTGACTTTGAAGATGGAAGAAGGGGTCCCTTTTGTATCTAGAAGCTTAGCATAGCACTCAGATGACATTCAGCAAGGGAATGGGGGCCCCAGTCCTTTAACTGCAGAGAGTAGACTGCCAACAGCATGAACCAGAAAAGGAATGCATTTTCCTTTAAAGCCTCCAGTAAGCAACCTGCTTGCCCTGCCAACACCTTTATTTGAGTCTACAGACCAGATGTCTAACCCTTGGAGTTGTTGGGTAATCAATGAGTTCAAGTCACTAAAATTTAGAAGGCAATTTGTTTCTGCAGCAGTAGAAAATAAATACAGAAGATAGGGCGTGACTTAATTTATTAGGTCAGAAACCCTTTATTTCTTGAAGGTCATAAACTCTTTTAGAAAGCTGTGCATCTTCATAAAGTTGTAAATACGCAAAACTGAATAAGATTTCTAGAGATTTATGAATAATCTTAAGCATATTTCACCTTCTATTGTAGATGGTAATATTCCCAGGAAAAGCAGGCTTAGTACAAGTTATAGAATTTTATAAAATATATTTATTATTTTATAAAAATAATAAATCCAATCTTATTATTTTGACTTATTAAATAATGTAAAAGCATAACTTATGCTCTCCCACCAAAGGCTGTTACCACATCTTGAAGCACTCAACTAGGCTGCTTTGAACTTTGATTAAATTTTAGGAAGATGAATTTTGTAGATACTAAAGCTAAAAAGTGACCATCAACTTGATCTTTTACCAAGAAGCTTCTTAAAACAAGGCCACATGGTTGAGCATGGAAGTATTCACTAGATTGCTACTGATAACTAGAGAGTTGAGGATCACTCCAAAAATTGTAGAGAGCCCGGCAAGCTACCGAGAGTATTCGATATGCCAGACACAGTAACAACAAAGTCTCCAATGGAGACGTTACTCCAAAAATTAATATGTGAAAATCTCAAAGAGTATTGTATTGATTTCCCTCCCAAGGTAAAACAAAGTAAAACAAAAACCCAAAAAACAAACATCTAATCTAAACACTACAGAACAAAACAACAATTCCATAGACGTTAGTCCTCAATAAATTACATTTGCTAGGTCTCAGTGGCAATGACTGGAGATTACTCAGGTGTATGAATTTTTCTATTTGTTTAGAGCAACCCTGTTCTCATAAGTATTATTGGAACCCTTAGCTCATTCTAATAACCATGGTCAAAAGGTATTAGGTATGTGTTCCTCCACTTGAGCTATCTGCCTGGCCCTGGGATAGAATTGATTTTTTAAAACATAAGGCACCTATGGATCACCTTAAACCATAGTGTTTAGAGGAGAAGGACAGAGAAAGAAAGAAATCAAGGGGGAAAAGAAGTGAACAGGAAGTAATGCGTGAATAGATATCAGGGCTTCAGTTATACAGGTGATATGGGTGAGTGGTACAGTCCTATATCCAAAACACACCCAAGAACACTGAAAACATGAGATCTAAGCTGAAGCCACTGGAACTTTTTAAAAAAAATTATTTATTTATTTATTTTGCTTTTTGGGTCACACCTGGCGATGCACAGGGGTTACTCCTGGCTCTGCACTCAGGAATTACCCCTGGCAGTGCTCAGGGGACCATATGGGATGCTGGGAATTGAACCAGGGTTGGCCGCGTGCAAGGCAAATGCCCTACCCACTATGCTATCACTCCAGCCCCCGCCACGGGAACTTTTTAATATGCCAGTCAAGTTGACAAACAGGGATGGGGTAGTGTTGGTGTGGGGAGAGAATGTGGGAACACTAGTGGTGGGAAGTTGACACTGGTGGTGGGATTGGTATTGAAATATTATATGCCTGAAACTAAACTATCAACAACTTTGTAAATCATAGTTCTTTAATTAAAAAATAGGGGGGGGCTGGACCAATAGTACAACAGGTAGGCATTTGCCTTGCACACGGCTGACCCTGGTTCCATCCCTGGCATCCTGTAGGGTTCCCCAAGCAGCACCAGGAGTAATTTCTGAGTGCAGAGCCAGAAGTAACCCCTGTGCATCAGAGGGTGTGACCCAAAAAGAAAAAAAAAGGAAAGGAAAAAAAACCACAACAACAAGACACCTATTTTTGTGTTTATTGGTTTTCCCCCTTCGCTTCATTGTTGTTGTGATGACTCGGGGTTCACCCAAGTTGGGGTCACATATATGTTTGCAGTGCCTACAGACTCAGCTCTGGTGCAAGCTGGTGGCCATATAGCTGGTGGCTTTTAGTTGTGCATATAGATGTGATCAACCAGAATCTCCATTCCTATTTTGGTGCTCATGAATAGTTTGGTTGTAGTGCTGGCTGGGAGTTACACTCTCCAGTTGTGGTGTTGATACTTGTGTTCACTTCTTGGTTATTGTGCTTGTGCATCTTCTGATTGTGGTGCTCACACACGCCTGGCTGTGGTGTGGTCAGAAGCCACTTGTGACGCGCGGGAATCACAAACATCAGCGAAGCCAGGCTCAGACCACTGAGATGTCAGAATTGTGTTTGGCACATGTGGTGAAGCTGGGGATTGAACTTACACTTTCAATTGTAGCTGCTCTAAGCCTCTGAGTTATCCCCCAGACTCAGGTATAATTAACTTTATGATAAAAAATACTTTTTGGTTTTGGGATTGGGGCCACACCTGGCAGTGTTAGGGGCCTATTCTCATGGGGCTCAGAGGGTCATGATTTCAGTGGGGCTTGTAGAATCATGCAAATGCCCTGCCACTGAGTTGCATCCCTGGGCCTACAAATGTTAGATTTTTTTTTTCAAGCTGTGATTTTTTTTTTTACCACAGTCAGAGATGCTCAGGCATTACTCCTAGATCTGTGCTCAGAGATTACTTCTGGTGGTTCTCAGAGGGCCATATGGGATGTCTAGGATTAAACCATGATCATGCAAGAGGATTGAACCAGGAGCATGCAAGGCAAACCCCCTACTTGCTGTACTATTGCTCCCCTCTGAAGATGTGATAGGGCTGGAGCGATAGCACAGTGGTAGGGCGTTTGCCTTACAAGCGGTCAACATGGCCGACCCGAGTTTGATTCCTCCGCCCCTCTCGGAGAGCCCAGCAAGCTACCGAGAGTAACTCGCCCAGCCTGGCAAGCTACACGTGACATATTCGATATGCCAAACACAGTAACAACAAGTCTCATGATGGACACATTACTGGGCCCGCTTGAGCAAATCGCTGAACAACAGGAGGACCGTGACCGAAGATGTGATAATGATTTTTAAATTGTTTTCAAAGCATATTTATCTTTTAGGGATACACAGTAAACTGTCTACAGGTACAATATTATGGACTTGCTTCAAAAACAGGTGGGGGAAGAAATGAGTAGGAGAAATAGAGAGTAAAAAAGATGGGTGTGTATTGATGCAAAATGCAGGTACATGGTTATTTGGTTATCTGACTGTTCACTTTTGAATAAACTTGACACTTGCTTGAAATTCCATCAAAGACTTCTGGTACTAAATTCTATTAATATTGCTTTTGTGTGTTTTTACACGTAAGTTATGTAAATAGAATAAAAATGAATAGATATTTTGTAACAAGCTCTTTTCTCTCAAAAGTATCTACGATCTCTTATTTGTAAGGGCTGGAGATAGCACAGCGGTAGGGCGTTTGCCTTGCACGCAGCCAACATGGCCGACCCGAGTTCGATTCCTCCGCCCCTCTCGGAGAGCCCGGCAAGCTACCGAGAGGATCTCGCCCTCACGGAGAGCCTGGCAAGCTCGCCGTGACGCATTCGATATGCCAGACACAGTAACAACAAAGTCTCCAATGGAGACGTTACTGGGCCCATTCGAGCTAATCGACGAACAACGGGAGGGCCTTTATCTTTACCTTTTATTTGTAAGCATTTATTTTCAATTTTTTTTGAGTCAGAAAATTATTTTAATAGTTACAAAACATCTTATTTTTACAGAATCAGTATAAAATAGCAGTTGATTTCTCCATAATTATCAGAATTATTTATACTTGAGGTCTTGGTTAAGTGGGGCTGAAATCAACAAAAGGTCTTGGACTGTTGGCTCAGAAATCATCCTAGGAAGCCTACCCTGTTGATATCTGTCATGCTTATAGCTCTTAGGTGATGACTCAGTCCTTTTAGAAAAAGTACCTTTCTAGTCATTCTTTGGAGGCTTAAAGTGAATTCGGCAGCGTTAGTCAAACACCTTCCAGCTTCTGTCATTTACCACTTCTTCAACACTTAGTTCTGACTGCATCCGTTTCAACTTTGTCTGTTTTTTCCTAAGTTGCTTTAATAATGTTAAATTATCCAGATTCTTTTCTCTTTCTTCTCGGAGACTTTTTACTACTGATGAGGTCCGAGCTATACAATTTTTAATGACTTTGTCCCTACTGGCATGAGCCGCCATCAACTGGAACTCGGCGAACTCCTCACAGTTCACACCGCTACTTGGCGCCGCCATATTCGACCTATTTTCAATTTTAAGGAAAATTGGAGCAATCATGTACATGCCTCTTTTGTCTGATTGTCACCTTTAGATACACTCTTAGAAATATCACTACTGACTCAAAGAAATGTATATTTAACATTTTGATACGTGTTGCCAAATTCCACTTCAGAAAGGCTGAACCTAACTAATTTAGAGCATAAATGCTCTAAATTCTGCATCAGTAGGTTGCCTAACACCAACCTTTGAGAATATAATAAAAACATGCTATCTTATTGTTGGCTTCATTTGTATTTAATTACTAAGAATAAAATTATTTTCAAATGCTTGTCAGTTATTTAGTGTGTGTGTGTGTGTGTGTGTGTGTGTGTGTGTGTGTGTGTGTGTGATTTGCTTGTTTATATTCTTTACCAGATAGGGTGTTAGATATCCTTATTGACAAGTAATAGAGTTCTCCCCCCTACCACACACTTTTTGAGCCACATCCAGAGATGCTCAGGGGTTACTCCTGGCTCTGGACTCAGGAATTACTCCTTGCAGTGCTCGGGGGGACCATATGCAATGCCGGGAATTGAACCCTGGTTGGCAGCATGCAAGGTAATCGTTCTACTCGCTATATGGTCGCTCCAGTTCTATTTTTTGTTTTTGAGCCACACCTGGTGGTACCCAGGGCTTGCTCATGACTCTGAGCTCAGAGGACCATAAGGGATGCTGGGAATTGAGCCTGGATCAGCCACATGCAAGGCAAGACCTTACCTGCTCTACTACTTTCCTGGCCCAAGAGTTCTTTTTCTTTAATGACACACACACTGCCACATGAGTTTTAAATATTTTCTGAGAGTTGCTTCAACTTCAATTTTGTGGTATGCATGATATGTGTGTGTATTTTTCCATGTAGAAATGTAAAATTTTATATGGCTTAACTTAAAATGAATTGTTCTGGGCTTTAGAGTCATATAAAAAAGTCATTTCTTGGAACTAGAGCGATAGTATATTGGGCAAGGTGCTTGCCTTGCACATGACAGACCTGAGTTTGGCCCCGAACCCCCCAGGAATCATCCCTGAACTCAGAGTCAGAAATAAACCCTGAACATTATCCGGTGTGGCCTATAAAAAAAACAAAACCAACAACAAAAAAATCATTTTTTGTCACAATAGTATGAAAATATGCACTCCAATTTTTATTTATTTTATATCTTAAAATGAGAGTATAAAATTATATGAATTTTGTTTATATAAAATTTTTATATAAAAGCCTTAAAACCTCTATCCCTCTCGGAGAGCCTGGCAAGCTACCGAGGGTGTTCCGCCCACACGGCAGAGCTTGGCAAGCTATTCGTGGTGTATTCAATATGAAAAAACCAGTAAATACAATGGGTCTCATTCCCCTGACCCTGAAAGAACCACCAATATGGCCACGTTAAGAAGGATGAGGAAGGAGAGGCTGATAAAATCTCAGAGCTGACCTAGGCTGCCACAACAAAGAAAGACAAAAATGACTGTCTGTACTTTCAATGCACGTACGCTGGCATCGGATGCATCCATCAAGGACCTGATGGTGCAAGCGCGAAAGATCAAGTATGACATCATTGGTCTGATCGAGATGAGGAGGCATCAATCACATCACGCCATTTTCGACACTGGGAAGACCTTTTCCTCGGAACATGCGACAAAAGAGGCGTCGGTGGTGTCAGTGTCCTTGTCAACACGAACTTGTCCATAAACATCGATTCATTCAAATGCCTAACAAACCGAATTGGACAATTACACTTGAATAGATGTGGCTCACTGCCGGCAGTTTCTCTCCTTCTTGTGTACACACCAACATCCAATTATGGCGAAGGAGAAATTGAGAAGTTATAATGGAGCTGGAGAAGTTCTATAAAGAAGATCATACCTTCTACAAGATCATTGTTGGTGATTTTAATGCCAAGATAGGACCGAGAAGATCCGCCGAAGAACTCCACATCGAGACCCATGGCCTAGAATAGAATGAACAGGGTGAGAGACTGTCCGAGTTCATCATGTCAACCAAGACCATTTATGGTAACTCATAATTCCAGAAGGCCGATTCTAAACGTTGAACATGGGAATCTCCTGGTGGATGCTTCCACAATGAAATTGAACACATCATATTCAATCAATGGTCTTGCCTGACCAATGTCGCTGTTGTCCCAAAATTCCAAATGGGATCGGACCACCGTCTCCTTCGTGCAAAATTCTACTTCACAGAGCAGGGAGAAAGGGCTGCAAAGATTAAGAAGAGAACTCCCAGAACGACCACCAACTGGGAGCTCTTTTTTTTTTTTTATGTAGGAGTACTGCTATTTATTCAGCTACTGATTATCTGATTGAATTGGGCATGAACACCACCTTTTTCCCCCCATAATTTTATTTATTTATTTATTTATTTATTTATTTATTTTTTCTTCTTATATTTATTTCTGGCAAGCTACCCGTGACGTATTCGATATGCCAGACACAGTAACAACAAGTCTCATGATGGAGACGTTACTGGGCCCGCTCAAGCAATATTTATTTATTGAATCAGTGTGGGAAAAGTTACTAAGCTTTCAGGTTTAAGTCTCGGTCATACAATGATCAATACCTTTCCCTTAACCAGTACTCATTTTTTACCACCAAGAACCCCAATATACCACCCCTCCCACCCCTCCCAATGCCTGTGAGGCAGATGATTTCTACTTAACTCTTCTCTACATTGATTACATTCATTATTTCGACAAAAGATGCACCATTATTGTTTAGAATTCCCGCCCCCCAACAATCAGAATTGCTGAAAAGTCATTGTGAAATACTTTGTTTTCTATAGCTGGTTATGAGAATCATATAATGTCATGCGGCCGTGATTTTGGATTTCTGCAAAGAGCCCGATAATTATGAAATTGGTTTCTGTGCATCTGGTGTTATGGCTGTGCCTGAGAGCCGCTCATGGGGGGCAACTTGTGACCTCGTTAGGGTGCGAAGGACGAGCCGGTACCACCCCCCTTCCCATGAAACTGCAGTTGCCCCGTCACTGCCAGTTCATACCTGGCTTTCCTATAAGCTCTGAGGCGGCGACCACCTTGTATGTGGTCCAGATGCATTTCTGCCGGACTCTGGACTAAGTCCTTTTGCCTCTGGAGCCATGGCCGTGCTGGAGAGCCGCTCGTGGGGGGAAACTCGTGACCTCAGTAGGGCGTGAAGGACCAGCCGGTACTGCTCCCCTTCCCATGAGACTGCAGTTGCCCCATCATCGCCATCTCGTACCTGGCTTTCCTATATAAGCTCTGAGGCAAAGGCCACCTTGCTGCCAAGGGGGGAAAAAGGCGGAAGGGAGCAACACCCTTTCCCTCCTGGGGAGGCATGGTGCTGTAGTTTAATGCATTCACTTTTCTGCCGCAAGCTGCCGGGCTCTGGCAGCTTAAGTCCTTTTGCCTCTGGAGCCATGGCTGTGCCAGAGAACCACTTGTGGGGGGCGACCCCTGACCTCGGTAGGGTGCGAAGGATGAGCCGGTACCACCCCCTTTCCCATGAGACTGTAGTTGTTCCGTCACTGCCGGCTCATACTTGGTTTTCCAAGAAGCTCTGAGGCGGTGGCCACCTTGTATGTAGTCCAGATGCATTTCTGCCAAAAGCTGCTGGGTTTCGAGATTTGTTTCTGAGTCTCTGGGATCATGGCCATTAATCAGCTTGATCATTTGTAGGTGGTAACTTGGGGTCTCTTTGGGATGGGGAGGAAAGGGCTGGTTCCACCCCCATGTGGTGAGGCCCCGTGTGTCTCATCACTGCAGGCCCAAACCTGACTGTCCAGTGGCCTCTGGAGGATGGCAGTCAGGGGGAACAGGCCAAGGCATGAAACCTATTCCCATCAGAGTGGCCCAGCGCCAGTAACCTCCTGCAGGAACAGGACACATTTCTGCCAAAAGCCTTTGGGTACCGAGATTCGTTTCTGAGTCTCTGGGATCATGGCTGTAAAGCAGTTCGATCAGGAACCAGAGAGGCCATGCCTCCAATTATATAGCTGAGCCAGAGGTGACTTGTGGGTGTGTCTCCCACATACCTAACTTTTGGCTGTTTACTTTCTTGGTAAACTTTGCCCCAAGTTTTTGGGGTCTGGCCAAAGGCACAGCAGCAATTTTGGGGTATCTGAAAGTCTGACGTGGTATCAGGCTGCTGATGCACTCGCCTCACAGGTACAGATTGACCTGCTGGTGTCACCATACACCCACCAACTGGGAGCTCTTTGGCACTATTGCGGCAACATGGGAAGATGCCATCGTTGACAACATTGATGAAGAATACGATCGACTGGTTGAGCACCTCCATGATTGTGTGAAGAACACCAAGAGTTAGCCACAAAAAGATGCCTGTCTTTGAAAACTCTTGAGCTCATTCGCCAACGTGGCTTGGCACAAGCTTCAGGCAACCACAAAAGAACGTCTGAGCTCACAAAGCAGTGCAGAGAAGTGATAAAGAAAGACCTCAAGGAGAGAAGAGCAGCAGTCCTGGCAGATGCAGCAGAAGCTGGGAAAAGCATTCACAATACCTGCCTGTCCTTCGCCAACTACAAGACCAAGATTACTACCCTCCGATGTCCTGATGGATCTATCACATCTTCCAGAACGGCAATGGAGAAGATTATCCATGACTTCTACTCGGATCTCTACGACAGCTATGTCCACCTGCCCACATACCAAATTCCGCAGGATGGATATGTCGTTCCCAAAGTTCTCCCTTCCGAAATCCGACACGCCATTTCTTCAGTAAAGAAGTGAACAGTACCTGGCCCAGACAAGGTAAGACCCGAACACCTGAATAACCTGCCATCAGTACTCATCAATACACTGGCTCGTCTCTTCACATGCTACCTGTCTGAATGCAAGGTTCCATCTCAAAGGAAAACAAGCAGGACTGTACTACTATACAAGAAGGGAGACAACCACGACATTGGCAGCTATAGCCCGATCTGCCTGTTGTCTGTCATCTACAAGCTGTTCACTCCAATCATCCTGAAT